GACAACATCAATTTCCATGGCCATCCTTTCAGCACGTTTCCTGCTTAACTACGCTCCGAGCGTTTTTTCTTTAGCAAAATTAGTTAGTCGTACGGCAGAGGAACCGTTGGAAAATCGAATCGTTTTCTTAAGCTGAACTTGATTTCCTTTTGAAGTCTTCTTCCAGGCAAAGGTATTATGCGCTATTTCCATAAGACTTGCTTCCATACCTGCTTCCATTCCATTCCACAAGACTGCTTTGAGGCTACTTTCCGATTTTTACTCATTGGGAGAATTTGTGTACACCAATTAGCATACATCATCGTTACAGGAAGCCCATCAGAGAGGGTATTGTTCCGCTTCTGATGCGAGAAAGCACTTGGCACTTGGTCTTCCAAGAAATTTCTTCTGATTGTTGATTCTTTCCATTTGGTGAGGCCTATACTCCTTCCCCCTTCTCTTTAATTAGTAGCACTGGCAGTATGAGAGTGCGAATTTTGCCGGTGAAAGCGTGGTCGTTCCGAGGCCCTTCTCCCTGGGTGTGAGGTTCGTACCCCACATCCAGGGAGAAGGGGCCTCACTTGGTGCACCATGTCATTAAGGGGACATCATCGGGATGGGGATGGGTGAACTCACAGGTGCGTAATGTTGAAAAGTACGGCTGTCTTCATCCATAGATCGTCTTTTACTTTGGACTTCACAGCGATATTTTGCCTGTACGTGCTTTACGCGCATTTACGGGACAGTTTCACGTGTATGCGCCGAAGGGGTTCTCTGATTTATAGATCAACTCAAGGGAAATTCATTTGAGTGCCTTATGACCCTGCGCTGGAGTGCTCAGTGCTGAATCTGCATCAAAAAAAGCAGCGCCCTCGACGTTTTGCTTATGGCCCAAAATCAAAACAGAAATATGAGTGCAAAAAGCACGCGCGTGGGAACATTGCTGATAAAATGATTAATATCAAACAGTGCTTCGCGTATTGAGGCGATGGTGGAGTATGAGAAGTAGCCTACGTCAATTGCGAGTATGACAAGTAGCCTACTCATCATGCGTGCGGTTCGGCGTGAAACTCCTGAAAACTGAATTCCCACACCTACCAATCATGCGTTCTACTCTTTGTGGACGGTAAATTGATACCAGATTCCTCTGGAAGGACAACAGCAGTGAAGTGTCATGGCTGGACCTCGATAGTCATCGTATACATAGGCCATGTCGCATTTAAAAAATACTGCGATTCTGGATGGAAGTAGAATGTGTGGCGCATCTCCAGTGAGAGATTAGTCAATGCCGAAAGCCTAGTCCTTTTCGTCCTTGATCTTTACCATTTTACGATCCTACATATGGTCTCATTGTGCTTTTATCGTTCACCCGAGTGTCTCACTCTGACTGCGAGCTCCAACACGTAATCGCCAGCATGTGGGTACACGGGGTAGGACTGTTACCCTTGACTGTTTTGCATTTGCCGTGTTTTGAAATAATCCGTATATGAGTTTTCGGACAAAGACAACTTCTACTCTTCAAGGACTGTGAATTGATACCAGATTCCCTGGCAGACGGCAAAAACACTGAAGTCCACTTCTACAAATGAAGCTCGGGGAACCAAAAATACTTCGGCAAAGACAACTGCTTGTATGTGTCACTAGTGATGGAACTACTGGTTGAATTTTTAGTGAATTTTTCGTTTCCGACATATAGATGTGAAATGTAATGTGTGTATGCCTGGCGGTCCACCTTTGGGTTATCTAGACCTCTGACACATTCCTCCCTGTCACGTCTCGTTGTAATTGAGAAATGGATATTGACATTGTGAGAGATAGATTCGGTCCACGTGTACAAAACAGTTCTCATTCACAAGTTCAGCTGCCGAAAAGCACTGGTTGGTAATTCGAAAGTCCTGAGTTTGAACTATCGTATTTCCCGAATTGTTATTTGTTTCCCAGACATTGGGCTGTGATTCGGGATGTGCTGTCTGTCAACAGTCGATTGCGCTTTGATGTGGAGCGCTTGTTTCACTGTTTCTTACCACACACACTCCAAGAAAGGAACTCTGACATTCTTCACGACATGCATGCCTTCACAAATTGAGTTCTCTTCCTCTCAACAATCTCTTATTGGATCGCGTTGAATAAGGTCATGCAAATCATTGAATCTTATTTTATACTTTGAATTATTCCCGCTGTTGTTCCTGAGAGACTGCAACATAGACCTATCTTTATTTTTTCTTTTTTTTCATTTTTTCGGACTGCGTAAGGCGTTCAACTTCCATTAGTATTAGCAGGGGCATTCAAACCCTTTTAGCCGTAGAAAGCGGTATTTGGAATGCTCGGCTGATGTTTTCGATCTCCGAGGACGAGTCGCTCGCCCTAAATGGGTATGCGAGGCTTGGTGGGGTGGACGGCATCTAAAATACTGACATTTTTAGCGATAACAAAGCTTGTGGCCACACTTCATCAAATGAAAAATAAACTAAATGTCACGCATAGTTGTGTTCTACGGAAGTGGAAACGCGTTTCATTGATTGTGTACCGCCTCACCACGAAATCGTTTCAAACACAATTGCTTTCCAATCTGTGGGTCGGTCTAAGAAGGAGTGTACTGCAATTTTTTTTGTCCATGTTTTATGGAATTTGACGGAAGTTCTTCTTTTCTCTGATAGATTCCATTTTTACAAATCTTATGTACCCTTTTGTTGAGGCGGAGGTGGTATAGGGCAAGTGGCGCGCTTACCGCGCGCGCGATTCGGGGATCATCCCGGATCGGCTTACCCCCAGGACAACCAGGCCCTCTGCCCTTCGGGAACGGGAAACAGTTACCACCAATTCGCTTCGGAGAGTAGGAATAGTGGGTACATTGGCTCGCCCTGCAAGTCATTGTATAGGCCTTATTTAGGTGTACTTGCGGCTGTACCGGGCTAACACTCGCGAAAAGAGTAGGAGCATGAGATTTTCTGTTGTTATCTTTTGTGGGGAGGAGGTACTCATAGATGTACCGTATTTCCTTTAGA